CGCGTCATTGCGCAGGGCGCGAGCCAATGGGTGCCACGCCCCGCTTTCGCCGAAAGAGGCGACCCGTCGCGAGAGGCGCCGAGCCGACAAGACTGGCAGCACCTCTTGAGCAGTGGCTCGATGCACCATTTGATGTCAGGCACGGGCTTCGCCGGCCGGCATTGACTCCTTTGGGCAGGCCTCATGGGTCCGGAAGGTTCCAAACAAGCGCAGCCTTTTGTATTTTGTGACGGTGGTCGGACTTCAAGAGCATTGTGCAGTTGTCTGACGAGCCCGGCGAAAGCAGGACTCCAGCCCGGTGCTAGGTTTCATGACTGATTCTTAGCTCCTCCCCAGACAAGCTGGCAAGAAGCTTGGGAGCATTGCTTAAGACTCGGCCTTGTCGTACAGCACTGTCAGACAAGCTCGCTTCAGCATTTCTTCCTGCCAGTCCGCTTCCTCTTTGGCCGCTTCCATCATGGCCGGGGCCCCTGGGAGCCACTGGGAGGATGGCGTGCAGTGCAGTTCTTCAACCGAGGCGATGGACAGCAGGTTGGAAGCAATGGACCGACGGCTTCAAGGTCTTAGTGGCTCAGCAACAGCGCGCAGTTTCAAGTGAACTAATGAAGGTGCTGTCTGTTGCATGGGGGGGGGGGGGGAAATTCCACTTCACGGTTCCGTGCGGGAAGCGATGTTTTAAATTTGAACAAGGCCAGCGTGAATGGAGCTAAGGTGCGAATTCATATGCTGGGGCACCTTCTTCGCAGGCCTTCGGGGCATGGGCACCAACTCTTGGCAGTGAGCTTGAAGTTGCTGTAGTAGCTATAGCTTATTCCTCTCATGGCTTCATCCAAGCGTGCTCCGAAGCCTCATTGAAAAGGTTGCCTTGCAAAATCCACTCCTGCAATCCCACAGAGCAATGCCAGTCTAACAGATTTTGACGAGGGTTGCAGCAGGTCGGGGTTGAATTCAATGGCACCTCGTGCGCGAGGGGTATCGGAAGTAGGTGGTGCATTGGCGGTAGCCTGTGCCTAAACTGTTGGAAAGGTCGGGCCTGCACAGTCTCGGATTTCTCATTCTCGCAACCAGCTGTGATGCGACGTCGAGACGAAGCTGTTGTTCTCAACTTCTCTGCGTTCAGTGTGCAAAGCTGAGTGTGTGTTTCTGTGCTTCTCAACGCTTGTCGATTTTGGCCAGGACCAGCTTTCTGCATTGCACGCCGCCGAGTGTGAAAGGATGTCGTGGGTTTCACACGTATAGAAACTGATCTGTATGCATGAGAATCCCTAGGGCACAGGGCAGAGTGGCACTGGATCAAACTTGGGTTTGAAAAAAGCACAGGGTTGGCGGGGGAGGTTCAGTGCCCGGTCCACAACTCGGGCACAAGAGCTCTAGGCGACGCACGCAGCCGATGAGTGCTGAGGATCCCGGTCCTGCTGGCAAACTTGCGCGGTGCCCCCCAGGCGAGCTGTGACGAGATGATTCTCTGTGCTTTTGGGAATGTTTGCTTCGGTGAAAGTCTGGTCTCATCATAGTTCAGAAGTTTCTGGAGGTTTCGTAGTCTGAGTCAGCTAATTTTGTTACTTATGTTGCGTAGCTTTCTGCATCTGCATATGTCGGCGTTCGGGACCAGGAGAGCACGAGATCGAACGAGAGAGCGAGAGCGAGAGAGAGTGGTAGAAAGTGAGCCTTGAGGGGTTGGCCTACGGCCAGGGCCGGGGGTCCTCGACCCCAAACCCCAAGCCAGCAAGCAAGCAAGCAAGCAAGAGGTAGGAAAGTTCTTGTAGGGTCGGAGGGCTTCCCTTTGTCTAGGCTTTCGCGAGGGGCATGACCAGGGGAACACACTCGGCCCACGGCAGGCTGCAGCGACGGCCCAGGACGGGGAGCACTCCGTAAGCGATGGGAAGTATAAGCATCCGCTTGTGTGGCTTCAGCTGGCGAAGTCTCAGATGTTTCTGCATGAAGGATGTCTGCTTGATCCTGCTTGGTTTTGCCACAATTGTCCCGAGTTTCTGTTTGATGTGGGTATGCGCCGATTTGTTTTCAAAACGCACGACGATAGTTTCCACCGCCTTCGCGGCCACTACAGGACAACGGCTGGAGCTATTACTCCACCAGTACGACTCCTGAGTGGGAGGGGCAAATCAAATCCTTGAGGGAGGCCTGGCAACGCGAGTAGCCAGAGTTTTGCCTTTGATAACTACCCGAGTGGCGCCGGCTCCTAGCTGCTACAGCCAACGAAAGCACTGCGTACCTGGCCCGATGCAGGCGGTAGAACGCCTCTCGCATCAGACCGATGACCGGTTCTCGCCCACAGCTCAGATCAGATCATAAGGGCATCAAGCCTTGGCCGCTGTTTGCAAAGCTGTCACAGTCCCTGTGGCCGCCCAGGTCGCTAATGAAACCGCCGCAGCGCTCGGCAGGTGAGGCCACGTGTTGAAACCTGACAGGACTAAGCACAGCCGTGCAGGATGCTTCGGGCCGGGCCTCCTCTACATCTGTGCTCAATTAAATGCTGAGACCCAGGTTTTATGTGCATGAGAGTGGTAGACCAGTGCCATAGCGAGATAGCAACACTTTCGTGACACATTTTTCGTCCCCGGTACGTTCCGCAATGGGGCGAAACAATGGCTGCGTCCTCGCTAGCAGCATGGCCGCATGTCTGTAGAAGGTGTGGTCGCAGCTGTAGTGTAGTGCGTCACTGAGACGGATGATTGAAACGATTCTGCTGCAGCTGGGGACATCGTGGCCGAAGCTATTAATGATTAATGAAGCAAGCTCGGCGGAATGTCTACTTGGGTTGGCCTAGAGGCAGGGGAACTTTGCCAAGCGGGAGGGGAACAGATAATTTTTGCGGCTCTGCGAGGCAAAGCAAGCTTTGGGCAGGGGCTGTGGAAGCCTGGTCTTTACGCCCGGCCCTACGCTTGCACGTCTGGTTGTTAAAACCTGCCACGAGATCCGTGACCACTTCTGTGCTTCTGAAGCTCCTTGAATGAGGTCGGCGAAAGCCGCTGGAGTGCGAGCTCAGCCAAACAGCCCGGCGCTTGAAAAGACTGGGACATCCCACGATCGATTAGGAGGCCCTTCTAGCAACTGCCTTGAAGTTGTTGCTCGAAGTATTGCCAGAGGCCGTGGAGGCTTTTATCTTTTCTATTGGGAGTGTCCCAACTCCCACACTAAAAGCTCTGTTAAACTGCTCCGCTGCCTGCGAATGTAACTTGAACGACCCCCCCTCTGGGCTGCATCTTCGGTTCCCAGAGATCAGGTCCCAAGTTCATGGCCAAGCGACGCAGGCTCTGCACAGAAGTGGGGTAGGATAAGGAGGTGAAGCCCCAAGACTGTGCCGGACAGAATCCTTACCGCTGCATCTCAGAAAATCATGCAAACAATGCTCAAGGTGTGAGCCGGAAGCCACACAAAGTATCACAAAGAGTCGGGCAAGGGCGGGGATATGTGCCTCAGGTGGTTTGTCAACCAAACGAAGCCGGTCCGATTTGCAACAATACAGCCCATGTCTTTGGAACATCGATGGTGCCGAGCTTCCTGGTGCAGAGCATGACAGACCTGCAGTGGTTCAGAGTCAACTCCAGTCAATGCTGAGCCCGCCTGCATAACAACCGGGGTGAGTTGCTAGAGCTGCAGCAGGGGAGCCAGAATAGCGAGCTACACCTCGAGTTGTCGGCAAGCTCTTGCAGTGTCTCAGGTTTCCTGTTTCAATGCTTCCAGAAGGGGCCGTGACCCGAGCTCCAAAGCACTGCTTCTTTCTTTGTCGTCAGATTGTCTGCGCTTCCTGACCGGGAAGTTTTGGATGAGTTGGTTACACTGAGTAGCTGAATACCGTAATTACGTACTTCTTGATAGTGTTTCAGGAAGACTTGTGGTCTCGTACTTTGACTTTGTCCAGCGTACGTGCGATAAGGTTCGAGAAGAGGATGCCGTGCAAGCCATGGAGTCAGCCGTGCGCTGAGAGTGGCACCTTTCTACGCATCGGAAGATGCATATGAAGATGCCGCTGCCACACTGGTGTGCTTTGGCTTTGCAGGTGACGGTTGAGCTGCGCCGCGGTCTTACAGGATTTTTTGCGGAGTTTGTTTTCGTCCTGTGGTGGGCTGCTGTGTGAGGTGATGGTACCTTGGAGGTTGTGGAGTTCGGGGCCCCAGACCCCAGCTCGTCCAAAGGCCCGCGGTTGCCTTCCAGGCTGGGCCCCTTCGGCCCCAAGGTCCTTGCCTGGGATGGGAGCGAGGCTTCGCCGGCAGCTCAGCATACTGTCGGCTGCAGGCTGCAAGGTGGGCCATAGTCTTCTGCAAGACGAGAACTTTCTCTTTGGCTCCAAGACATGACGCTACACGAGAAACCGAGAATCAGCAAAGCGTAGGCTTCAGAAACTTCACAGGCCACGCTTATGAAAGCCTTGCACGTGTGCTGACTTATGCATGGAGGGCAGAGGGCAAGCACAGACGTCACCACCCTTCTTCTGCCACCCGTCCTCAGCGATGCTATGCAGAACGACAGCAAGAAGTGATGCTCCTGAGTGCGATGCTCAGATGCTAGCTCGCGGAGCGCGGCAGTTTGCCAGAATTGCAAAGTATCGACTGAACTGCAGCACGGACAGTGCCATTGGGCCAATGGAACTGTTGCATTTGCTGTACCAAGACAATGCGAGTCTCGGTGGCTCAGCTAGAACCTCTTGCCAGGAGGTGGGACAATGCAATTCATTTGCTTGCAGACTCCAGCTGTTTGATAGCACTTGGAAGGCCTTATCACACTTGGAGTGTTCTGGCTCGGAGTTTGATCCGCGCTGGACAGAACTTCGCTTGGTGAGCAGAGCGCATCGCGAGGCTGGTTGAGGGGTTCTCAAAGTCATATGCCTGCGATTTCTCAGAGTGATCCTTGCATCTCAGTGGCTCGCCCTTCTTGCCTTTGTCTAGCCATGTGTGCAGTGTGCTGCGAGGCCACGCAATACAGACATATACAGACGGATTACTACATTCCTTCATTCATCTCATTGTATTCTGTTTAGAATGGAGCTTCTCGGCCATGTGACATCAAAAGGTGCCTCTGCCGCATCGTCGGCAGCAGCGGGTGTGGCCGCAGCTGTTGGGGGAGTGAGGGATCGGACCAACAGCGCGCTCACTCGAGCAGCGCAGGCATATGAGGCACACCACTACGAAGAGTTGCGCACCTATCTTGCAGATTTCTTTACGGACCGTGTGGACCTAAAGGCATTGAGGGACGCAGGCTATGGCCGGCACGGCGCACTTTTGAGGGGTGCCAAAAGCGAAGCCCTTGAGCGCTTGGTGAGCCTTTCGAGACCTATCCGAGCCCGGGTGATGCTTGCTTTGCGTGAGACCATCAAGGATGCGGCTCTGTCAGATCCCGACATGTGGAACTGTGCTCGTTGGCGTTTGGAGAGTGTTATTGATCTGTTCTGGGATGACCTGACCGTCTATGTGGAGTCTGTGGTAGGTGATGCAAAGGACCAGATGCTGAAAAGAGGAGCCGATCACTCCGCCTTGAAATCTTTGGGCCTTCGCCCAACCTGTCTGAGCTTTTCTTGGTTCCGTGCAAAGCTGCTTTATCACTATCTGCCCTTTGACAGCTCGATCTTCGGACAGATCAAGGACCCGCTTTTTTGGATCCTGACAGCGATAAGTGTGACACCGATGTATGGAATCCGTGTGGCATTCTTTGCTTTGGTCCTGTTGTGCATAGTGGCCGGTGCACCGCCGGATGAATATCAGACCGTTTGCTTCATCCTGATGTTCAAAGGTGCCCAATTCTTGTCCAGCGGTGTTTTCATGGCCTGCTTGGCAGCCTTCGAATACTACATGTGCGTGAAGCCGGGTGGGACACACACCTGCGACACAGAGGGCCCTGGTGTCTCACAGGGTCTGGCCACAAGCTCGGTGGACTTCGTCGGCAGCTGCGCTCTGGTTTGGTTGGCCTTCCTCCTGCTCCCGTGCACACGCAGCTTCGCGGGGGCGCGCGAGATCACTGCTCAGAGTGACGTGAAGGAAGAGGAGCAGTCCGGGGCCGAAGAGCGGTGCTGCCTTTATGACAGGTCTCGAGGTGGCCGGCTCGCTGGCTTGCTTGGCTATGACCTGTTTACTTTTGTCCTGAGCTGCGCCTTGATCTACGTCCTCACGGTTCTGGATGTTTCTAAGGAAGCGACGGTGCAACTGGAACAGGTGGCCATAAACAAAGACCTTTTGCTCTCCGACCTGCAAAACTGGCAATTTCGTTCGAGGTTCTTTTTCGGACGTATTGTGTACGGTTTGTTGTCCTTTCCGTTTCTTATCTTCCAGCTACCCGTGCTGAATGGCATTCTCACTCACACGAACCCCACAGGGTACAACCCGCAGGGGCTTTGTGTGCCGTACCTGTTGCGGCCAATGGAGGAGGCGAAGTCCCCGTGAAGATCCACCAGCCTGCCGCCACAGCCTGCCGCCAGCCTGTTCCACGGAGGAGCTGCAAAGTCAGACGTGCGATGGAGCGAAGATGAAAACAGGTTGTGGCTTCAAACTTGCATTGTGAGCGGTTCTTTACCCTGGCTGTCTTTGCAACACATGGCAGGCCGGCTTGCGCTGGCGTGAGGAAGGCAAAAGACGTGTGGCTCACGTGGTCAGCTGTTGGCCCTTTGCTCAACGACGTTTATTCTCCGGAGCTGTTGGGCCAGGGGATCAAGGCAAGAGGACTGCAGCATCTTATTTGAAAAGGGTTTGTTTGCTAGCACAGGCGCTGGGGATCGGATCGTTCCATCTTCGTGGGTTTCTCGCTGTGAAGGGTTTGCAAGCTTCAACGCCATGGCTGCGCGTAACCTCCGCCGAGCCCGCCGTGTTCCATTGGCCTTGCTGTTGGCTGTCATGGGCGGCCTGGCCTTGCCAACTTTTGTCTCATGCGGAGGCTCGGCTTAGTTTCGGGTTTCAGACACGCGGTTAGCTCTTTGCAGGTCTCGCAGTTGGGCGAGCCTTTCGTTATATTTCCGTCTTTTGCAGCTCTTCAGCTCCTGCGGCCTATCTAGCCCAGCAGATCTTTAGTCTTTCGTCTTTGGCCTCTCTCTCTTTTTGGCTTCTCGGCTTGTCGGATTCTTGTAACAGTTGAAGTCTCCCAGGGCACAGTCTGCGCAGGTCTGCTCAGAGTTGCCTCTGCAGAAAGCAGGAACTCGGCCAAAAAGGTTGCAAAAGCCAGAAGCCCGAAAAAATCAAGCTGTACCATGCCGGACAAGTGGCACCAACTTCGATGCGAGGTCCTGCAAGGAAGCGGAATAAACATGCGATCTGAAGGTAAGCTGTTGGAATGTAAGTTGTCGTTGACATAGTTGCGTGCCGGTAGGCAGGATGTCGTCGAGACTTACGGCCGCAGCCCCAGATTGCGGTCCTGCCAGCATAGGATGTCAGTGTGCGTGCCCCAGTGGCCCCAGAGGTTTTCGGGCTCCTACTTATGTAAGCTCGCGGCCAAGATGGAGTAAGGCTAAGAAGGGCTTCTGAGTCGCCTCGCTGCAGGACTCTCATGCTACATGCGACATGACAGATTTTCGACAGTTCCGGGTGCTTTCCACTCACTGTCCCCAGCGGAAATCAAAGTCCTGAACTTACCCTGATACATGACATCGAGCCACCATATATATATATATATTTTTTTTTTCTCCCATCGCCGGTCCGGGAGGGTGCTTGTCAAGATAGATAGGCGTACAAATAGAGTGTGTACCACTGCGCTTAGACCTCGGAACCTTCCTCGCTGACAGCAACCGAAGCCATTTTTTGCCAAGGCTCAGAAAAGCAATCGGGTGACCCTGGCTGCTCGGCTTCAGACCCAGAACTCCCCTTTGGAAAGCCCAAGCTGAGACCGAAGCCTTCGAGGCCGTTGTCAAACACCTCGGGCCATAGCAGGTTCGGGTTCTGCGTGGAGTGTTTGGTGACCGCGTGCTACTGTTGCTTCATCTTGCAGCAACAGGGGCACGTCTTAGTCTTCGCATTCGAGGCCTAACTCCACGCCCCGTTTGTGCTTGCCGCTGTTAAAATCAGATACTTGTGCGACGGAAACCAACTGCCCTCATGTGTAAGTTATTGCGATCGGCTTTCAATGTACTGCGATCTTGCCTACAGTTATTGTGATCAGATCATTGTGTTTTGGTTTGCATAGAGGTTTACAACCGCTTTCGTTGGGATGTAGGGGGGGCTAGGTTGGGCCACGTCAGGTCAGGGTTTGAGTTTCGGGTAGGGGAGGCAGCGATAGGCTGTTAGGTTGAGCTGAGTTAGGTTGGGTAGGTTTCGGAAGGTTGGGTTACTTGGGTTAGTTCAGGTTAGGCTGGGTTGGTTAGGTTAGATTCGGGCTTAGGGTTCCGGTCAGGTTAGAACAAGTTTAGGTCAGGCTAGATAAGGAGTTTAGGGTGGGTTAGGTTTTTAGGCTAGGGTTCAGGACAGGTTGGTGCAGAGGCTAGTTTAGGGTTTACAGTATGTTAGGCTGGGGTAGATCAGGTTCGGGTTTAGGGTAGGTCAGGCTAGGTTTGGGTTTATAGTAGTTTTGGCCAGCTTACGATCTAAAGTTTAGGGTGTGCGCGTTTAGGGTAGGTTTTGTTAGGATTTGGAGTAGGTTAGGATCGATTCGGGTTCAGCTCAGGTTCGTGTGTTAGCGGACTACGTCTAGGTCAGGTCAGGTTGATGGTAGGTTAGATAGAGTTTAATATAAGTTAGGTCAGGCGAGGGTTTAGGGTAGGTTAATTTAAGGTTTAGGTTTGGCTAGGTGAGGAGGCTATGCTGTTGAGGAGTGTTCGCTGGCAATTCAGGCCCATGAAAGGTTAGGTCAGGTTAGAGTTTAGGGCAGGCGATGCGTATGTTAGTTAGTTTAATGTTCAGGGTAGGTCGGGGCTGGGGTTTGGTCAGGTGAGGGGAGGGCCAGGGTTCAGCGCAGGCCTCAGCTCGGCTTAGGTCAGGGTTGGGTGGGTTGGCTGGTCAGGTTGATTCAAGCGTAGGGGTCAGATTTCGTCCGGATTTAGGGTAGGTTTGATTAGGCTAGAACTTTCGGGTTTGGGACAGCCTAGCTCATTTTGTCAGCTTTGGCTAGGGCTGGTGTAGAGCTCAGGTCAGGTTGGTCTTGGTTTCAGGGTTGGTTAGGTTAGTTTCGGGGTTGGGGGATGTTGAGTTGACGTTTAGGTGAAGCAGCAGTTCAGGATCAGGCAAGGCTTAAGTTCTTGTAGGTTAAGATATGGGTTAGGGTTTAGGTTCTGCGAATGCCAGGGAACAAGAGTTCAAGGTTGAGGTTTTGAGGTTGTTAGGATTTAGGATTCATGGGGGTAGCATGCGGGACTTGAGCTAAGATAGGGCAGCTTAGGCTTGGATCCAGGTTGGGGTAGCTTAGGATGGGTTTTTGGGATAGACGGGATCGGAGCCAAGGTTCCTCAGCGAGCCACGGACTTCGAAGGGAGCCTGGAGCAGCTCGTTTGCGAGGGAGAGAGGAGGCTGAGCAGGCGGAGCAGGCCGCGGTTTGAGGCTAAGGCCCAGGGCCGCGAAGGCGGCAGCTCTCAGCTCTTCTGAGGATAGTGCAAGGCTGTCGGGCTCTTTCACCCTTGCGGTCTCAAGGAAGATCAAAAGAAACATCATGGAGGGCGAAGTCGGCAAGCGCGGTGAGGCCACGCTCTGATGTGATGCATTCAGCTTCCACTCGCTGCGCGCAGTGCGTGTCTCCCACAGGGTTAAGCCACCAGGTCTACGTGGCATCGCAGCTCTTTCTGTTGTTGTGCATCCTGATCGGCACAGCCTGCCGCTGAGATGGGGCGGTTCTCGTTAAGACCATCATGAAGACAGAGATGCTTGATATGTTTTCCTTATAGTTGTTACGCTGGTTACAAGAGGCCCGGCTGCACATCAGTTTGCATTTAAAGCAGAACTCGGATGAACCAGGTTTAAGTGAGGCCAGTATGTCGAATCGTGTTGCATGCGCACATCGAACAGCGGTGGGAGCCAGACGCCCACCACACTGGTCAAGTCATCGGGCTGTGGTAGATGGATTTATGCTAACAGCTCCTTTGTGAGGCCATTGCCCCGAATCGTTGCCGGACAGACTTTTCCAGGGGAAGACGCGGTGAGTGGTCATTGTGCGAAGCACTTGTCACTTCTCGGGTGATTGTTGGCAGCAGTCTCTTTGCACCATGTGGGCTCCACCGGAGGAGTCGTACGATGTCACTGTGCGGCCCGATAATATGACATGCGCTAGACCCGGAAATCGAAAGCTCGAAACGGCAGACCTGAGTCTGTATGCCCATGCATCATCGAAGAGTATGAAGCAATCCGTCAAGGTGCCATTGATCAGCTCCTCGCTCTACTTTTTGGCCGGGCCCCTGTCCATGGCCGTGGGAGGCGGTATGAGTTAGTGCAGCTAGGGTGTCTTTGATGGCATGCTGCCGTTCATCAAGATATGCGGGAGGCGGAATGATCGTGGCCTCCGTCTACCAGCTCCAGGGCGACTCTGTTGGCTCAGGGTTTGGGCTTGGGCTACCTCGACAGAGGGCCTTGTTGCTTCTGACTCTCTGTCTTCGGAGTTTTTGGCCTTGCGTCTGTGCGATGCAAGACGGGCTCGGCATTTTCGGTGCCCTCCATCTGCGACGGCGGTCGCTCTCCTCGCCACCACATCCTTCCGAGGCGACCTTTCCCCGTGGATAGTGAAGCCCGCCGGGCCAGGGGCCTGGGCGTTGAACATTTGTTTGTGTGTGCGGTGGTAGAACGGTTTGGTGATGATCGCAGAGAGTATAGTTTTGTGTTCTGCCTGGTGGCTGTGTACCTGTGCTGTGCTCCTGATTGCAGACCAAAGCACTCACGTCTCTGCGAGCACCATAAGCTACCGCAGGCGTGCTGCAAGCCGTCAGCGTGCCTCAACTTCTTCTTCCTGCCACAATCTGTGCACGTGTCCGTGCGTGTGTGTCCGAAGTGTGTGCGTGTGTGTAGATTTGTGTTGCTTGTGCTGTCTCGCTCTTTCTCCCTGTCTCCCTGTCGCTTTGGGATATCTCTTTGCATTGGTGCACTGCCGGCTTGCCGCGCTTGCCTGCTTGCCTGCATGGCTGCATGCATGTGTATTGACAGCTGCTAGCATACATGCTTGTGTTGGCGTATGTGAGTTCGTCTGCTTGTGTCATGCACGAGTAGATGGTGTGCTGGAAGAAGCGGTTACTTCCTGCCAGTGCCCGAGGTCGACACTGAGGACGGACGGCATCTATGAGTATGTGCGGCATCCAATCTATGGAGGATTGGTTTTACTCTGCCTCGGGATTGCGGTTGTCACCAACAGTGCCCTGCGCAGCCAGTTGAAGACATGAAGAAATACAACGAACAGTTGCTGATGTGTCGTGGTGAGGTGTTGTGCCCTTTAGGTGCCAACCGCCTGATTCTCACAGCGGCCCTGTACTTCGTTCTCGACCAAAAGGCCACAGTGGAGGAGGACAACCTGAAAGAAAGCGATCCAAGCTACGGTGCCTGAGCGGCATGTGGACTCCTTTTTGGAGTTTTGTTGCATGTATCTTATGTGAGGTGCTTATGCAGAGAAGACCTCTGGCAAGCTACTCCCGGATGTGAGAGAGCTTCTGAGCTCGGAGTGAGTAGCGCGACCGCCTCGAAACCTCAGCGGATGGAGTAAGAAGTCAAGATGCTTCAGTTGTATAGCTGCAGCGCTTCCATGCCGTGCGTGCGGGAAGTCTGCCTCGAAAGCGGCATGGGATCGCACAGGGACAGGACTCCCCAACGACCCGCGACCGCGTCTGTTGCCTTGTCTTGCTTCGGAGCAGCCCCTTTAGGCCGCTGTCAGTTTATGTAGGCGACTGGTCGAAAATCGGGGAAGGGAGTGTCTGCCTGCCTTGCCCTGAAGTGCGGCCTTCCCAGTTTCGAGCACAGCTTCCATCGACCATTGCGAAGCTTCAGTTTGGGCAGCGCCGGTGCCGCGGTTGGTGTGGCTTGTGTGAGCTCATCGCTGTCCAGGCAGCGACTCGGCGCAGAAGGCCTTTGAGACTCGAGATGCACTGGCAAAATTACCTAGCTTAGTGGAGACAGCAGTTTGGGAGTGACAGTGGTTGGCTGCAACTTCCAAAGAGCTTTGCACGGCTTACAATGCTCGACCCGAAACCCAAGCCACTCAAACGTCCCGGATACGTTTGCTCAAGTTGCATCCACAAACTAGGATGTTTTGTGATCTGTGATCAAAAGGCGGGAGGCCTGTCGCTCGACCGAGGACTTGAGCACTTTCCTGGTAGGCTCCTGGTGGAAGGAGCTCTCTACGGCGCCGATCACCTTCGACCTGGTGCCCGTGGCGGTGAGTGGAGGGAAGACAAAATTCACGGGCTTGGAATTTTGGAAGCTTAGACTTAGACTCCTGCGTTGCTTAGGTGATGAAGCGCCTGGAGCCTCCTTCCAGCCTCAGGGGCCTGTGCATCCTGGCTGCCACTCAAAAAAGCATCTCCTTCTTTTCCAGGTGCAAGCGGGGTAGGGCGAAATCATGGTGCTTCTACGAAGCATTGTCTCGGGATGTCCCGTCGAGGCGGGCATTGGGTGGCGCCGATGGTTGCGCAAAGAAAGATCATCTAAACACCGTGACTTTCGTGGTCGCCCTCGCACGAATGAATCGCGGTTAGGGCTCGTTGTTGCACGATTCTCAAACATCTTTGTGGTTTCTGGAGGGTCCTCCGTCAGCCAACCTCGCAGTGCCTGAACGCAGCGTCAAAGGTCTTGCCTGTGTTTGTTGTTTGGGTATGTTTTTAAAGTGAACTTTCGCCCTCGAGTCTTCGTTCACCAGCTTCCGCTGCGAACTGCTGGCCTTGAGCTGAGGCTTCTATGGACTGGTAACCGCCATCTTCATTCGGTCGCAGTTGCTCGTTTGAACCGCTGCCCAGCCAGAAGAGAAAGGACGTGCACCCTGAAGAGTGCACTGCTTGTGTCAGCTTCATCAATGCCCTTCTCTGCCCTTCTTGTTCCATTTGCAGCTTTTCCGATGTCGGTACGGTCTCGCGGCTTTCATTGGTTGATCCAACGATCATCATCACCCCTCGCATTGCGGAGAGTTCCTCGAAGCTCGGCAGCCCACCTCGTTTGCAGACATTCCGTTTAACTTTCGGATTTTGGAAGCTTGAGTTTCCTCTACACCGAATCAAAGCACAGCGGCCCGCGTTCGAAGCTGAGTTGTCTATGGCTGGCCATTTGGGCCCAATGTCGGGAACGTCCGGTTGGGCTTGAGACTTTAGCAGCATGCCCCAGCTAGGCTTACCTGAAACGATTCGTATTGTCTTCCGTCGACGGTCGAGGCTCGAGACGCAACGTGCAGCCACTATCGGGTTGAGTTCTTGGGCTGTTTTCACAACTGGGATTGGTTGGGGTGTTATGAACCGTTTTTTTTTTCGGGTTTGGAGCTGGCATCCCTTGAAGTTTTCACACCTTACAGCTGTTCTTTGAGGGCCTCCAACTCTTTGTCTTTCGGATGTGTTGAGTTGAAGAATGCCCCCGGCTGGGCAATAGCATTGATTCAAACATTTCAAACTTACTTCTGCGACAAAGGTGTGGGGATTCTGAACTGAGGCTAGCTTCAGCCCGGGTGGCTCCGATATTGCTTGCCTAGTGGCCAGTCGCCGACCATTTAACAAAAAAACACCTGACGAAGCCATGCATTGCTTCAATGGAAGGTTTCTCTCCGAGCGCTTGGGGAATCACGCAGAGGCTTTGACCGGACTGCAGGCAGCAGTCTCTTTCCAAGAAGGGTTTGTGGGTGCGTTTCATGCATGTCTTCTTGCCTAGTTACTTAGTTTGCCTTGAAAGCAGGATGGTCTTTCGATCTTGGGAGGACGCCTGCACCTGGACTTCATCCGCCACCGGGCTGGGCAATCACGAGAGTTGTTCTCAGTGGAAGCTTACAGAGATTGGCCCTGACTTCGAATCTTAGCTTCGAGGCGAGGCGAGCTCGTGGCCGTTCGGGGCCTTGGACGCTTTCGCTCAGAAGAGCTTGGAGGTTCTCTAGAGTTTTCCACACATGGAAGGATTCACGAGGGGTGTCAGGCGCTACTCGTACCATCACAAGCCATGGAAGCAGGCCATCCCCCTCCGAGATTCTGCGAGCCGTCCTTCCCTCCTAGGACTTGCGGGTCAACCGGGACGCGCTGCAGAGTTGGCTTGACTCGGACGTGGGCGGCTCGTCTGCGTCAACGTTGGAGATCCCAAATTTCGAGTTTCGGGTTGGGTTTGGGCAGACGGTGCCTGACAAAGACAAGCCCGAGAACGGTGTCAGGGATATCACAAAGCTTCATTGTGTTCAACGGGATTCAGGCACTCAGAGTGTTCGGCCTGCGTCCTTCCGCACATCGCCCTTCACCGGCCTTCAGGCAGGGCAAATTTGGAATCCGGAGCTTACTCTGATTTGTTGACCTGCGACTTAGAGATTCCGAAAGCCCGAAGGATATATCACGAAGCAGTTGATTGAAGCAGCCGATGAAAGTTTGCCCCTGGAGCCAGCGGAGCAGTCTGCAAAAGCAACATTCCCTGCCCAGACTCATCTTCCTTCCCTGACCTCGTTTCTGCTCGTTTTTCTTCCAATCCCTGCTCCACTTCAAGGGCATCTCGTCGACCCCCGAAATGTCCAGAAACGGGAGCCCAGGAGATGAAGCCCAGACCAGTGGCCCGCACGAAGGCCATTCCGGGACATGAACTTTCCGGGGCTGCGGTTGAGGACCCTGGAGCTTGTGCTTACAGTAGTGAAGCGTGACGGTTGTTGAGGGATGGAGTTGATGGCCTGCTAAGTCTGAGACAGATTGTGCCGATGCTCCTCCTCACTCCCCCTCCTGCTCCTACTATCGCTTGACGACGACGACGACATGGTGCCACCATCAGCGCCGGCACCACCAGGATCATCACAACCACTACAAGTGCACGGTCACTACGACAACTGCGCGGCGAGGACGGAGGCGAACGACGACGGACGACGACTTCTGCGAGAGTCGGTGTTTTCCTTTTCCGTTCCTTCTTCGGATGCCCAGCTCTGGCCCACAGCCGCAGACTTTCCTATGCAGGCGTCTTGGCGCCGCCTGGAGTCCAGCCGAGGCTGGGGTTTCGCTTGTCGGCCACATTCCGGGTTCTGCTTGGGGCCAATAGCCAGCCAACCAGAAAGCGGCAAGCGAGGATGGAGGCAGAAGCGTCGGCTTGGGCTTGGTGTCTTCGGCGTGCACTCCACTTTGGCATCTTGCCTGGAGCCTGGAAGCCTAAGCAGAAGCTGAGGCAAGTTAGAAGTATCTCTGAAAGGGCTATAGCTAGCGGAGGATCAGCGACCATCAGCGCGGTTTCCAGGTGTGCACTTTTTCAAACCGGTGCTCCGAAGTCTAGCAGCAAGTTCGCCAAACGAGGTTCTCGAGCCAGCGACCATGCTGAAAGCGGCGCTGCGCCCCTGGGACACCCGAGTGCAGCTCCTTGGTTGGTTCCAAACCAATCCGGAGATTCAGGAAGATAAGTTTCTCAAAAGCCGCATCCAAGTGACTTAGAAAACCGAACGTGGCAAGGACATTCACCTCTGCTAGAGTGACTTCTGTTCGTAGCCCTCGGCAACTTTCATCAAGAGAAGGCGGGTTGTTGCAGCACGATGTCGGCATGTCGCTGTGCCGCATCGTGTCACCATGCACGTGTTCCAATCCGCTTCGATGATATTCTGAGGATCTTCATGCGAGATTGCCCGCGGGGGAATGCCGCCCTTGGACCGCGTTGTGGTGTGTGAGCCGAGTTCTTCGTGACGGCCCTCTGTCGAAGCTCTGAGGCCTGGTCCCACCATTGCTCCTTGCAGTGCCAAGCGCTGGGCAGCTGCGAGCCCGGATCGGAAGGCACAGGGATGCAGAGCAGGGCGCTCACGAGTAACTGACTAATTAGACGCTTGGAGGTACAGATTGTTCTTTGTGTTACGCTGCCTGCAGATTCTTATCACGCCTGCATGCTGGTGCCTTCCGGTGGTTTTCGGCTGGAACTTGCTCATACTAAATTGCGAGGCGAAACTTGCCGCAGGCCTCAGGTGCTGTCAGCACCACACCCAACCCACCCTGCAATTGTGTCAAGAGGCAGCAGCCGGCTGTGGGTGGACCTGGTGCACATGTTCGAGGAAGCTATTCACGAACGGTGGAGATACTACCAGGCCTGCGGTGGATTTGCTGCCAACCACCAGCTCTGCACAGGAGGGCCGGGGGTGGAAGTTGAAAAGATGACACGCAGGTCGCCGATTACCTCAGTGTCTTAGTGGAGATGCATCGGCTGGACCCGGATCTGCGTGCAGCAGAGATGTATGTCTGCACAGCACCATTGGTGCAGCTTGCTCTCATAACAGAAAGGCATTGTGTTTCTTGCTCCGGTTTTACAGGGATTGAGGCTTGCGGCCTGCGCCTGTTTCGTGCCAAGCGTAGGTGCAGCTTGCTGCGCGCAGTTGTGGAGAAACCTCTGCTGGCATATCTGGGGATGCAGCTGCACGTTAACGTGGACAGGCCGGCAGGTTCGCAGTTCCACAAATTTGCCGGGATGGAGCAAAGCTACCCTGCCTCCGGCTTCTGCCTGCTGTCGCTCAGTATGTGGCTGTACTCAGCACAAAGCAAACGCAAAAGACAACCAGAAGACAACATTACGACTCACTTTCTATCCCACGTCGTCAAAGTCTCTTTTGCAGCGGCGCTTGCTTGTGTCGATTTCTTTCCCCTTCACGAAGAACAAGAAGCTCAAACAACTTGCAAGGGAGGAAGAAAAGAGCTGTTCCGAATCTTGCTGGCAGGCAGACAGACCAGCTGTGGCTGATGCACTTTCAAGCCATGGTCAGTCTCTTGGCAGCATCTCCCCAACCGTTGATTTGGACCATCATGTTCGGCAAGAGAAGCGAAATCGAACGACAAGGGGGTACAGAACGGCCATGTCAGCAGTGCACAACCGAGCATCGGCCATCGTGCTCGCAGCAGTGGCTACAGAAAGATTATTCCCGTGCAAAGACTGGGTCGGGCTGCAGCAAAATCTCCAGAGATCAGGGCATAACTTGAAGCGGTTTTCGGAAGAAGGTCCAGTCAGCTGCTGCTCTGCCAGGAGACCAGCAAAGCAACGTTTGGGCCGCCCACAACTTTGCGCTAAGAGAGCAGATCCGGTGCGCCAATTGATTAGTCTTCGGTCCTGCATTGCCCTTCAACGGTGCAGGGACCATTGTTTGATTGTCAGTTCAACAACACTTGGCACTCCAACCCTGTCGCCAAATTCACTGCACAGGTATGCCACTGGCATGCAGCTCGAAGTGGTGCGACCAAGGGCTCTGTACGTGAGCCTCGCCTGAGATTTACCCCTTTGCGGGATGCTTTGTGTTCACCTACAGATAGCATGTTTTGCAACGGCAGTGGTTCAGGCATGTTCGGGGGTCCTTGCTTCCTTGGGTTAGCACGTTTAGGGGTTTCCGAATCTCGATTGTGGCCAAAAGCAAGGAGTGAGGTTCAACAGGTGGATTCTCTCGAAATTCCCTCTGTCCGATCCTATCCTCATGAATGCAAAACGAGGCAGAGATCTTCCAAGCTGTATGGCACCTCGCCGGGCAAAGAATTCCGGCGCCAGGTGCTGTTTTTCCGCAGCAGCATCTCAGCTGGTCAGTTCTAGCTCGGGCTTCGCGTCTTGTTCCTGTTGGCTTGGCCGTGTCTGAGTCATTCTCCTATCATCGCCTGCAGCGCATGGGCTGACTCCAAGTCCTCACGATCCTTACGATTCATGCACACAGACCCACCGCGAAGTCACGGAACCTGCCGGCTAATCCTATAGGTCTTAGGCCCAGTGTCCTCGGCCAAGGCTACTTCCGTCTTTCACTGTTCCTTCCCGTCCTGGAGGCGTGTGGAGCCAGGGATTTTGCACAGGCACAGTTAGATTTAGATACAATCTAGACTCCTTTGATGTCCAGACCCGAGTATCGATCACCGTCATTGAGGCGCACGTTGATGCATGCGGGTCGCAGCTGCCTCTAGCACTTCGCGTGGTGCGAAGCGGCGACGATTTTGTTCCGTTCAGACCCTTACCAGCCTTAGCAATCCTAGCGTGCGGATGTGGCCGTCAAGATTTGCGTGCTGTGCAGTTTGACGCGCTTTGGCAAAGACATCGTGAGGGCTCTTCCGTGGCATCATTCGCAGCCCAAGCGAGAGACCAGCTCTCTGTTGTAGCTGCTTCGCGATGGGGTGTGGAGCCAGCGCTGCCGGCAACGAGGCTGTGCACGGGAGAAGCCTTCTACCTGCACAAGCCGAAGCCGCGGAGAATGCTTGCCCACAGTGTTCCCTAAGCAAGAGGCGAACTGTGCCAATAACATCAGGAGACTTGCTGACCTGGACCAGTCCAGTGGATCAGAAACGGAGGACTGTTCCCGTGACATCAGGAGATCTTGACGGATGGACGCCAGTCAAGCAGAGCCAGACGGGCAGCCAGACAGCCAGCAGCCGACGCAGTGGAGGGGAACCGGATGCGCTGAAGTCTGAACTCACAGAGACATGCTGAAGACATGCTGGAGATGCAGAAGGCCACCCGAGGGTCTGCTCGACGCTCCTCGTGCCCATAGCTTGCAGGGCCTTCGGCAAGCATGTGGAGGAAATGCGTGCCGTGTTGGGCCTGTGTACATACCCGTAGAGTTCCATCATAAGTCGCGAAGTGAAAAGTGTGACTTAGCTTGTTTCCAACCATTGGGAGACGGTCATCAAGTCATCGTCTCTCACTTTCGGTTTTACTGCTGTGCAGTTTTATTCCTCGTCGTACGATGAGGTCGCAGTCTCTAAATCGAGTGTGCGTACCACGGCTCAGCTTTGAGCGACATATCGCCGGATGCATCAGAAAGGCACAGCGAACTCCTAGGAGACTTCGGGGTTAGAGTCCAGCGGAAGTCTGCCGCATAAACATCCTAACGCCTCTCAAGGACAGATGGGCCGCTTCCGGGCGGCAGTGCTTTTCCCCTGGGACCCTGCTTTGATGGCTTTCTACGAGCTCTACAGCTTAGGGCCGGCGCTGCTCCTCCCAAGGAAAGAACGAGGGCTCAGTCTGAGTCGGACCAAGTGACTCCAAAAGAACATCGAGGTCATGACGTTGCACCTGAGAATTAGTGCCTTCCATTGATGTCTCACACCCTACGCAGCAGGAATGTGTTAGCAACAGTCTACTGTCGTTGTTCAACCCTGTCGCAGTGATTTCACCACGTCAGATTCAATCGTGAAGCGGGCATTCCAAGTAGAAATCGTGAACCCGGTACATCTCCACCAGGAGCGCTTGGATCTACAAAATCCAGCATTTCAGTGGATGGACCACATTTCAGGCTGCGGCTGGGGCTCTACCTACCGTTTCAGCATGAGCCGGCATGGGAATTTTTCGATCCTCTGCGAGCAACTGCTTATGCCACGAAAGGAGCTCGGGGCTGTTGAGTTTCCGCACCTTCCGGAAGGCAGGGCTTTGCGGTAAGACTTCTGAGAGTTTCTGTGCGGTGTGCGTTGAGTTGAGCGACCGAACGAAGCTCTGTGAAGGACTCCGTGCCGATCCGCGGCCCTTTTGGCGGCCAGAGACTTCGGTCCCGGAGACCGTGCTGCACTGGTGCCTCGGCCAACGACAGGGCCTCTGACGACTTCTTCGTGAAGGCTTCTAAATTCTAAATCTCAGGAGCTCTGATTGGCTACCAGACTACTAGGAGTGATCTGGGAATGCTTTATGCAATCCAGCATGCGCACGGTAGCAGGTATGCCTACTCTGACTGCAGCCGCCTTCCGTGCCTGGCCGCAATTTAGCTTGCACTCCTGTAGAGCAGACAAGCTGGCATTGATTTGGGCTCTGCCTGCCAAAATCAAGAGGAGACATCGCCTGACACAGTCGCAGAGTCAACACCTGCAGGTTAGTGATATGGTGCGATTTTGTGTGGTACCTTGCATCTGCTGAAAATGGCCACGCTGGCAGTTCACGACAGCCTTTGGGCGCGAGGCATTGTGGCCAGCTCTTTTATGGCTCCGATCCTCCCACATGAGCGGCTAAGTGAAGTAATGACGACTGACATTAACGGGCAAAATGCCCATCTCATTGCCGTGCTATTGCCTCCATCGACAGTATCAAGTGGCCTAAACATCTCCTGCAAGTGGATGCTGTGTGTTCATTGATTTCCATCCTCTACCGCTTAGTTATGCTTAGCTCGTGCTGCTGGAGAATATGCAGCGTCCAACCTCTATTGGTGCGTGCACTGGAGTGAGGGGGCTCCCTTATGAACGCCTCCTTTCTCACGGGGCAGCTGTTAACCTTCAGATTGACGGACTCTCCACCAACCTGCTTCTGCGCAGCTAGCACTTGATGAATATCGGCTGCTGTGCAAATGCCCGCGCTGCCGTGCCGTCGGGGCCGCCAACCCGAAGACCGCAGTCCACTTCAACTTTCGGTCGCGACTTCTGCAGCGTGTCGGCCAAATTCTCTCCACACAAATTCTGAGCCTCATTTAGGCGTGCCCGTATATTGCTGATCCAGGGCTGAGGGCAGGAAAGCCTACCTTAACATTAGTCCTGTTTTTGGCCACCCCGAAAAAGCATATGGTCCACACTTGCTATCATTTTGATCCACTTCAGTTCTCCTGTCCTTCCGTCACCACGGTGGTAGAAGTTGTTCTTAGCTGTTTGGTTTTGTTGCACGAAGGAGTTTCCCGATTTTAGGCGGTCCTGCACGAGGGGGGCCAATGCAGGACAGTGCGTGCTCAGCTGAAGCATTGTGAAGCACGGCTTTGTACTCCTGTGGCGGAACGAACAAATACTCGTACAGGCACAATTTTGTCCCATGTCTCCCGCCCCCAGGCATCTCCTGCGCTTCGAGTCCTTCCCGGAACTGTTCCGGCTTCTCCTGGACTCCCAGCGCCTTCGCAGCGCGCGACGCGGGATGCGGCACCGTTGCTTTTATTCGCATTTGCCGGAAGTAATGCTCAGCTTGAACGTCCGAGAGGGTCCTGGAAACCCCGGGCCGAAACCTTGAAAGCCACATTCCATGAGGCACCACAACCGGCGGGCCCTCCAGTCCGGCCTCCGCTGGTATCGGGATGCCGCGCTGTGGCTTCTAGCTCACGCGGAAAAAACAAGAATGCAGGTCTGCGAGGTGTGAGGCTTTCCGAGAAAGGAGTGTGTAGAGAGGTTTCCCTCAACGCCGGAGCGAATGCATCCGCCCAGGCTCGAGGGTTGGCCCGAGATGACTTCGATGGGCCCTCAGAGAGGTAAAGGAAAGAGGAAGTCATCAGGCTCCAAAGCACGGAATCTTCCAGGACTGAGAGGAAGGTCATGATCCACACTGCAAGAGCCTCACCAGCTACAACTTCTTGACAAGCAATAGGAAAGCATAGTGGCAGCCTGTCGGAGGTGGCGAAAATGAATCAGGCGCGGCGTGAGGCCATGCAAAGAAGGCCAGTGTAAAGGCTTTTGGAAGGGATTCGGCACTTCGAAAACACGGGACTTTCTGTTCTATTAATTTCCAAGATGCAGCACATCTTTCCAAACCCAAGAAGTGCTCGAACCGATGGAGGCCTCAGCCGCTGGAGCCCTTCAAGGGCTTCACGCTGGAGCGAGGGACGGCCGAAGAAGCGATCGAGACCGGCGCTTGAGACTCTCAAACGCAAGAGCTGCAGCCCGGAGCTTGCATCTTCACCGGCCCGGTGTTGACTGTCTCACCAGAGCAGACGAGAGCAGCTTGTGAGCCAAATGGATCTGGAACGCTTCGTTTTTTTTTGTTAGGGCCTTTCGGCTTTCATCGGGAAGTCAACCCGGGACCTGCGGGTCGCACCTCAAAAGACCGAAACTGCCAGGTCAGAAAGAAAGGACAGAGGGCCACGCCGAGCCCCGAGAGCAGTTTCAAGGAACAGCCGGGCTTTCAAGCACAAGGATTTGGATGAGGCATCGTTTGGGCCGTTATGCTTTCGTTCTAGTTCAGCACGGGCACAATGCTGGTGGTCGCAGGTATACAGTAAAGAGGCACACAACATCATACAAACCTTCGGGTGCGTACGTTGATGCATGCAGGAACTTGCTTGCTTGCTCAGACGCTGCACAGGGACTTGGACCGCTGTTGAGAGTCGAGTCAGGCTTTTTGGGCCTTATTAGGCTTTGGCAAGCCCTGGGTAAAGCCCCACAAGGCCTTGTAAGCCTTTGCAAGCCCTTGCATGGGCAGTTTGTTTGTCGCGATGCAAGGGCAGATCTGGCAGGCTCAGGCTGAAGCTTTGCAAGATTTGTTCGCAAAGGCCCTGTGGCCTATTAAGCCCTAGTTAAGCACTGTGTATTTGTGGAGGCCCATGGTGGGGAGGTCCATGGCGGTTGCGTGATTCTTGTTTGTGCCGGGTTCATTCCTCACATCCTGAGCCCTTCATTGCAGTCCAATGTGCTCTTGGTCCGCTGCCCTTATCCCTAGAACCGGCAAAGCCCAGGCTGTCGGCGAAGAGATAAGAGTCGAAACGTTTGGTTTCGAAGTTGAGTGCATGCCGAGTTCTTGCGCCGAGGCTTGTAGAAGTCCTCCCTGCCGAGGGCTGAGGGGGCTCAGGGCTCTAGGGTCTCCAGATTTCGAGCTCGGAGTGTTACATGTCAACTAGCATTGACTGGCAAATTCACGCCTCGAATGTGCCGGCGATCTCTCTAACAGTGGTTGAGTGCCTCTTGCGACTGCAGTGGCCATGCTTCCATTAAGCTTGCCCAGGCTCCCGTGACCAGAGCTCCTGCCGTGTGAACGGCAACTGCTGGAGCCCGAACGGTCTGAGCAAATCAGTGACTCTGTACTGTAGCTGCGGGTCCTCCGCAGCCTTCGTGGCCACCAAGGCTGCTCGGACCTTATGTTCGAGATGCTGGTGGACTTCAGCAACTTCCTCACTAGGCCTTAGAAGTGCCTTCGTGCCTCGACATGGGAGACAGCGTGGATCTCGCATCCATTCTCCTTGGAGGCTAAACGTGACCTTTATGGTGTCCGAGGGTACGCTTCTTGGCGCAGTTCGAGATGAGGACCCTTGTTGAGAACTCAACATATCCCAGCAAGAAGACGGGTAGTGGGGCCCCTTGTTGTGCTTGTATATCGGTGGTTAATTTCGTTGGTGCGGTCTTCTCTAATGGCCTGCTGTGGCATATCTTTCATGTGCTGAGTGATGCTGCCCCCAACTAATCCCGACTCGATGATGCCACGTTGTTTAGACAGAAAACAAAGTTCAGTCGGCATCCAACGGGTTTCAGCCATCTTGAGCTGCAGCACTTTCACCACTGATGAAGATGTTTGCGTCTACCTTGTGCACGTCGCTACAGTCCCGCAGGATATAATTCCGTACACGGCAGACCTGGACATATTCGTACCACGAGAAGGCATCTTGGCAGCATGCTGTGAACTGTTTCTGAAGTTGGACGATGGAGCTGCTCCGGAAACCGTCGGGAGTCTTGGTAGTTGAATGGGGGCAGAACATGTTGCTCATGAACATCATTGCTAGTGGGATGCGACATACACATTTATGCGCACCGTACATGTGTGCACCCATGCATGCACGCATACAGCATGTGCATGCTTGCATGCGTACATACATGCAGATGCAGACATGCAGACATGCAGACATGCAGGCATGCAGACATGCAGACATGCATGCATCCATACATCCGCCCGCACATACCCACACGGACACACACGTCCCAGAAGAGACGGCTTTGCTTCATACCTGCCGAGGCTGGGAACGGGCAATGCTCATCAACGAGGACTGGCCAGCTGTATCAGACATGCATGGCTCCTCACACGGGCATGCCCGGCTGCTGTGTCTCCGTCCGGCAGCTGCGGCTAAGCTGCGAGGAGCAGATGGGCCCGAAGTCCTACCACTTCATGGTTGTGTGGATGCCCAGAACGAGGCCTAGGTTTTATTCATTTTCCAACCTGTGCATAGCATCCGAGGATCCAGACCAGCCGCACTGTGCCCGACTGTGTGCCGTGCTGCTCGGTTGCATTATGTGTACATCGGCTCCTGATAAACAGCACACGAAATTGAATTTGCTGCAGGTGGGAGGGCTATCCTGTAAATCGAGTGCTGAGCCCAGTTCCGTCGTCTGCGTGCTTGGCCGGGGCAGATGGAGAAGTCACACTCTTGGCGATCGAGGCGCCCTTCAATGAACACTTTGAGTGGGACACCGAGAAGGTGGGTGCGAACCTCGGTTCAGGGCTGCTCGTGCTGACACGGCCCATGTGATCTGGAGTTTGTTTCAGAGTTCCCTACCAGGCAACGACCTGGCCTATTACATGGACATCTACGATGAAGGCCTTTTCTGCAGCTATCTTGGCCATCATAGTGGTATTCCATGTTAGTATGCACCCCTTATCTGGATGACGCTGCAAAGCTGAAGCATGTTATGAGAGGAAGGAGTCGCGGAAGAACGCTTCTGCTGTGTGCTCGTGCTTCGGCATGATGCAGACATGGACTTCGCCATTGCCACCAAGCACCTGATCTACCCACCATCTGCCGCAAGCATCCTATCTTGCGCAGCACGAGGGATTGAATCTTTGAAGTGAGCCGGGCCCAGTGGCTGCAGAGGTAAAGATCCGCAATCACACCTTTCCCGCACCACGGGAGAAGGCACCGTGTGAATGTGCATCTTGGCCAACGAGCCTTTTTGGATGATTCGGAGGAGATTTACGTGGAGGCCAGGTATGGGCCCTCCTGGCGCATCCCCGACCATCAGGTGGGGATGCGTGGTGGCACCGATCATCCGAAGTGGAGATGCCAGCTTCAGGCCAGGGAGCTGGCGGAGAAGTATCCAACCCTCGAAGAGGCAAGGGCCGGTGCCTCGGGTGTTGGCAGTCGATATTCCGATAAACGGCTGAGACCGAGACTGGCGAACATCGCTGAGGTCTGGTCTCAGAACATGCTCATGTTGCGGGAAGCCCGTCAGAATTTGCATGCCGGGTCTGGACCTCGACCCGGAAAGGTTTCAGCCCTATGACGGCAGGACCTGCATAGGAGTGGGATTTTCGATGCCATGCCACTGTGAGTCCTTATGAGATCCTAGGGTGTCAAGATGAACAGGTTCACGAAGTGTGGGCCCACCTTACCTTAGCACATGCAGTGTAACGCATCTGGCCACCAGCGTGTAAAGTACGTCTTTGCAATGCAAGACAAACTTCCTCCGGCTGCTGTGAGTACTGGGAACAGATGACATCAACCCTTTGACTGCTACAGCAACGAGCATTACAGATGCGATCGTCTTGATTCATTTTTAGTCACCGGTTTGATCTTCCTGCAAGCTCACCATCTCCATCTTAGTCTTCATGGTCAGAGTCGTTGTCGGGAGCATCTTCATGCTGGTGAATGTGGCCTCAGGTTCCGCCTTCTAGAGCGAGCCAGCGTTAGCTTCAAGACGGGTGGGGCGCCCTGAGCTTCAGTCAGAAGCTGTCAAGCTTCATGACTTAAGAAGGAGGCTTTACGTGGCGGAGCGCAGTGTTGGCGACCGCCGTTAACTACTGATGTTGACGGCTGCGTCTATGGGACTGTTGTGGTTGCTTAGTCTTCGGTTTCAGGAGCAAGACTGCACCACAACGCATGCAGTCGCTGCTGGGCCACTGCCACTCGGGTCTTGAGGTGATATACAAATCCGGGCAGATCAGGCGCCATTTTCTTTTCTTGTCCTGGTTCGGGCTTGGCAAGAGTCGAAGGTCACTAGGAACTGCGTTGTATTGTGAGTTGTTGTTCAGGACCCGCCTCACTACTCGGTCCAGCCCTTGGATGTTCGGTTTACTCACTCGATGCCAGGACCCTTTTTGTTTTGGTGTTTTGATTTATGTATGATGATGATTGCTATTATTATTATTGTTGTTGTTGTTGTACCGAGGACACGGGTCCAGTCTCGGATAAAAGGCAGAAAGACGACAGGTCCCACTCCCA